ATAGTAATAATTTTCTATTATTGTAATACAAAGCTTATAATACAAGTTATATAAATAGTAATTATTTTTTTGCTATAATTAGTTCTAAACCTTTTTTATATAATTCAAATTTATTTTATAAAGTTATTTAATAATTTTAAGAGTAAATTTGCTTTAAATAGTATACTACTAGTAGTGTACTAAAATTTAAAAAAATAAGATTTAAAATATATTTTTTATTTTAATAATTTTATTAATAATATTGAAAAAATTTTACCAAACTAAACTATAGTATTTATCAGATTTTTGTATATAAAAATTTTTTAGAAATATAATTTTTTAGATTTTTAAAACATTTTAACAAATGTACTACTGGTAGTACAAAAAGTAAAATCATATCTATTAACTATATTTCAACCTTCAATTTTAATTTCACAAGATTTGCAAACTTTCCTTAATATAGTATTTATCAAATAATCACCAAGTTTTTTATCTTTATACTATCTAAAATTAATATATATTAATTATTGTATATTAAAAAAAATTGTTATTTAGACTTAAATCTATTAATAGATTTTAATTACCAATCAGATTTTTTGTTAATTGAAGATGCAAATTTTGCATAACAAAATTAATTGGTTGTTTAGTAAAATAAAATTAAATATCATAAACAGGCCCAGGTTTTTCAAGAGGATCTGGTAGGATTAAAATACTAATTATATTACTATTATCATTTAATCCCTCTTGATTGTTTTTCCGAGACCATTTTGTAAAAATAATTCCACCATCTTGAAGAAATTTAAACTGTGAAATTTTCATTTGACCATGTTTACCACCCCATGGTGCACAAAGCATATACATCCACATAAATACTCGATATTGTAACCCTTGAGCATGTAATGCTAATACATTTGAATGATTAAATATAAAAAAATTTCTTCTTCAGTTAATGGGTCATGATGTTGTGGAATAATTCTATCTTGTTTCAACTGTTTCATTTTGCCATCTAGTGTGTTTCACAAATTTCTAAAATCATCTCTGTGTGATAACTTAAATTTAGTAGAACCACCTCGTGCATCATAGATCCATTGACTTAATAGAAGTAGTGCATTTTTTAAAGAAGTTGGTGAATATTCTTTTCCAGTTTTAAGTCACCATACACCAACAATAAATTCTTGTATTTCTCATTCAAGTTGTGACTTGTCAGTTATAATTTCAATATCATAATTGTAACCAACTTTCTTACACCAATTCTTAAGTATATTAACCCATTTCTCAATAGACTTTGCAGTATTTTCTGGAACCCATGACTTTGTAATTTGGTCTAATTCTTCAGTTGACGGCAAATAACTTTCTTTAATAGAATTTGTACACTATATATATATAATGTATATATTTCTTTTATTAATATTTTTTAATTTTTAAATTTAAAGAAAAAAAAAACATGAATTTTATTTACATTATATTTAGGCATGTTTTGATTAATAAGCTATCAAAAAGAGTTTAAAAAAATAGAAAGTTTATATTTATAGTAAAAAAAAGTTTTTATGCAGATCGTCATGGCCAGAAGGATAATACCGTTATTGGGCCCGTAAGCTACCAATAACTGCCTTATTCGTCAAAATTTTTGACGAATAACTGCAGTTATTGGTCGCTACGCGCCCAATAACTATATATTATGTATCGACCCTTTTTCTTAGATATAAACTCAAAGTTTCGTTATGAAATTACATTTATAAATTTTTGCAAATTTTAGATTCTCGCCCTCCCCCAATCCTAGTTAATCCTATGCAGCACTTGACATTTTACTAGCGATACTCATCTCTACAGATTTTTGATAATAAATGAATGCCTTATACTCATCCTTTTCAACCCCAATTCCATAAAGATAACAATTTCCTACTTCTCTTATTCCATTAGTATTTCCCATATCCGCAGATTTTTGATAATATATGAATGCCTTATGTTCATCTTTTTCAACTCCATTCCCATATCGATGGCAATACCCAACCATATATGCACCACTAGTCTGTCCCATCTCTGCAGATTTTTGATAATGAATGAAAGCCTCATGTACATCCTTTTTAACTCCAATTCCATTTAAATAACAATACCCAACATTATACATTCCATCAGCATCACCCATCTCCGCAGATTTTCGATAATAAATGAATGCTTTATGTTCATCTTTTTCAACTCCAATTCCATTTCTATAACAATATCCAACTTGATATGTTCCATCAACATCTCCCATCTCTGCAGATTTTTGATAATAAATGAATGCATTAATTTCATCTTTCTTAATTCCAATACCATTTCTATAACAATATCCAACCATATATGTTCCATCAACACCTCCCATTTCAGCAGATTTTTGATAATAAATGAAAGCTTTATGTTCATCTTTTTCAACCCCAATTCCATTTTCATAACAATAACCAACATTATATATTCCACCCGCGTAACCCATTTCTGCGGATTTTTGATAAAAATTGAAAGCTTTATTTTCATCTTTTTCAACTTTAATTCCTTCATTATAACAATAACCAACATTATTTGTTCCAATAGCGTCACCCATATCAGCCGATTTTTGATAATAAATGAAAGCTTTATTTTCATCTTTTTCAACTCCAATTCCATTTCTATAACAATATCCAACACAATTTGTTCCTCTAGCATCACCCACTTTAGCAGATTTTTGATAATAAATAAATGCTTTATTTTCATCTTTTTCAATCCATTTACCATAACGAAAACAATTTGCAAGAATGATTTGAACTGTTGGATTGATTTGATCATCAAAACAAAATTTAATTATATTAACAGGATTTTGTTTTTTCTTAATTAAAAATTGTTCTAACGTATCAAGAATTGAACGAGAATTTATGCCTTTCAATCGTTCTTCATTATACAAATTACTCATTTCTTTAACAATTTCATTAAGATAATCTTGTGAAAATTCTTCTAAATACGATTGATTATCATTATTGACCGTTTGAATAATATCTGATGTAATGTCGATTTTTTCTGATTGCTTTTCAAATTGGTTATTACAAATTGACATTTTAACGTAAGAATGAGTGTATTACGTTTTGAAGCATCTAATCTAATTTATTGAAGATAGTGTACTACATTGTGTCACATATGTATTGTAACACCCGCCAACAAATTAGGATGTTACGTAATAATAGAAAAAAATAATACTGTATTTTTTTACATTACGTAATAATAGAAAAAAATAATACAGTATTTTTTTACATTAATTTTGCCAATTATCCTATCTTGCTTTTATTTTTCCATAAATTAATCCTGTATCACCCGATAAAGACCTTATTTTCCAGAATTATCTGATAGGGCCAATATCCTGATTCCATGTTATGTAAAGTGAAAATAACTTTGCTGATCTTACAGTTGTTTCATATATTTTGGGAAATTTGAAAAATTGTCAATGGCCTAATAGGCAAGTTTTTGGGCTTACAGCTATTATCATAAATCTACAGTAGGTAAATTGAAAAAATTGCTGACGACTAAATCGAAAGGTTCCTGATTTCAGCAGCAATCGATGACTAATTGAATTAGGCTCAGAATTTGCTACTTTATTTGTGGTTTAAATTACTCCCACCCACCCTATTAGTAAAAAAAAATAAAAATAAAAAATTAGGATAATTAGAGTCGTACATGTACGCCATTATAATGACGACAAAAATTACTCCCTCAATTCTGCAGTGCATCAATACAGCATAAATTGCCACATTAATTGACGATTAAAAATACTAATATAAAAATAATGCGGATTGCCGTAGCATACCGCAATTCAGTAATTTCAATATACGTATAATAATAAGCTATTAAAATTGCTATAATAAACCATATGCTTCGTAAATACGTACAATACAGTACGTAGCTGTACCAGAATTTGGTAAAGATCGTCAGAACTAGTTTAAACTAGCTCATGTATTTAACTGCTAGTGTTCACATTTGATCTTTAAATGTGATACAAATTATTCGTATGATCATTAAGGTTACCATATATAAATATAATAAATTTGTCGGACTTATTTTTTTTGAATCCAAAATTTACACAAAAAAACAATGTCATTAAATAGTTTTAAAGATCTTGCCTATAGTTACGAAAAATTACTTAAAAATAAATATAATTTTGATGTAATTATTCGTGCTGGTGAAGGAAACAATTTTAAAGAGATTCATGCACATTCCCTTATTTTAAGTGCTCGTTCATCTTACTTTAATGCGGCACTTTCTTCTAATTGGGCTAAAAAAGAAGGAGATTATTATGTTTTTGTAAAACCAAATATTCCAGCAAATATATTTGAAACTATTTTGAGGTATGTATTTAATTCTTACAATTTATTAATTTATATTGTCCTTAATATTAATTATGTTATTATTAAATTTTAAAAAGATATGTATATACTACAGAAATAAGTTTTACGAATCTAGATTTTTCTGAAGCAATTACTATATTAATGGCAGTTGATGAGTTACTTTTTCAAGATGCTACAGATAGGATTATAATGTATATAAACCATAATCTGGAAAGATTTATGCGGAATGATGTAGTTGGCGTATTACAATTAGCTTTTCAAAATGAAATATGTGAAATATTTCAAGAGCCTTGTCTTCATCTAATTTGTATATGCCCTAATAGGTTATTTAAAAATCCAAAGTTTACTCAATTGGATAAATCAATTTTAATACTTATATTTCAACGTGATGATCTAGGAAGTTTAAAAGAATTTAATTTATGGAAATATTTAATCAAATGGGGTATTGGTCAAAATCCTATTCTCCAAGACAAAAAATTCGAAACTTGGACTGATGATGATTACATTATAATGAAAAATATTATAAATGATTTTATACCTTTGATTCGTTGGACCCGAATATCATTGCAAGAACTTTTGCAAGACTTGGAAATTTTTAACTTTTTTAAAAAAGTTTTATCAATCAAATCAACGGAGCTGCACCGAAACATTCTCTATTATTATCATAGTCATAAAATGCTATCTAAAGTGCTTAAACCAAGACATTTACCATCTATATATTCGTATGGTCGAAGAATGGAAGGAATCAAAACGTACGAAGAACTATTTAATCTTAATGAAATATTACTTCAAACCGAAAAAAATTATGATGTTGTCATTTATGCAGGCGAAGGAAATAGCGTAAAAGTTTTTCATGCACATTCATTCATTCTATATTCTCGATCATCTTATTTCGAAACTGCTCTCTTTAATAAAAATTATACTCAAAGTTATGATAAAACCTTTACTTTTACAATAAGCAATATTTCTGCAATAATATTTAGAGTAATTTTAAGGTAATTATTAACTTAAATGATTGATTGTAATATTTATATTGAAATTTAACTTAATTATTTAATTTAATTTTTTTGTTTAAAGATATCTGTATACTACAGAAATTGATACGAGTAAATTGGATGGACCTGAAATTTTACAATTAATAGAGGCAGCAAATGAGTTAGAACTTGACAAGATTATAGATTATTTATTAGCAAGAGACAATTTAACTGAAATCGTTTTAAGCAAATTGAATAATACAGAAGTTTTACGACTTATAATAAGAATAATTGAACTAAATTTTAGTTTAATTTTACAATATGAATCAGATTTTGAAACAATTTTAGAAAAACTAAATATTGATGAAATTTTATATATTATGAAAACAGATAATAGATCTGAAATTAAACAATTTTTTGATAATATTTTATCAAGTACAGAAGCTATCAACCCTTTCTTAAGTAAATTGAATGGGGGCAAAATTTTACAATTATTAGTAACAGCTAATGAATTTCAATACAAACAAATCGTTAGTAATTTATTAATGAATGTTAGAGCTATTTTAGGTGAATTAAATAAATACGAAATCACTCAACTTATGATAGTTGCTAAAGAGTTAAAGCATAATAGAATTACAGAACGTTTATTTTTAAGCGTGGATTTTGCAAATATTATTTCCGACAATTTAAATTGCGTAGAGATTTTGGATTTATTATTAAAAGCTAATCAGATGCAACATCAAAAATTTTTTAATCATATGCTAAACTTTATAGATCAAAGATTAGAAGAATATATGCATATTGATGCATTTATCATAATGCAAATTATTTTTAGTAATGATGCATTTAAGTCTCTCCATGATCAATGCCTTCATATTATATGTATCAACCCTAATTTATTATTTGAACATCGAAAATTTACTCAATTAGATAAATCAATTCTAATGCTTATATTACAACGAGATGATTTGGGAACGTTAAGTGAAATAATTATCTTGGATTATTTAATGAAATGGGGTATTGCTCAAAATTCGACTATCCTTCCAAATCAATTTAGAAAATGGAGGAAAAAAGATTATGATATATTAGAAAAGACTATTCATGACTTTATTCCTTTGATTCGTTGGTATCAAATGCCGCAAGATGACTTTATGAAATACTCTGAATTTCTTAAAAATATTATATCAACAGAACCAATTCTTAATTATTTTCGTTATAATATAATGCCACCACGAGGTACTACAATTCTATCACAGAGATACATATTACCTAATCATATGTTTCTTGTTAAACCAGGGCAGTTTGATCTTATTGCAAGTTGGATTGATAGGAAAGATTTGAAAACAACTTCATCAATTAATAATGAGCAAATTTCAAATGATTCCTTGTATTATGGTTCTAAAAATAATCCATATGATTTTAGACTTCTTTATTGTGCAAAACGAGATGGATTTGATGCACAAATATTTCACAAACTATGTGATGATAAAGGACCAACCGTAACACTTATTAAAATTATGGATATGGGACTATTTGGTGGTTACAACGAGTTAAGTTGGAAATCTCCTGAATTAACAAAAAAAATTGCTAGTCGTCTAATATCAGATAATAATTATTTAATATCAGATAACAATTTTTTATTTTACTTTAATAACAAAGATGATCTTAATACTTCTAACATTTCACGTGTTATAAAGAACTGTTTAGCAGAAAAATGTTATTCTCTTCATGGTCCATGTTTCGGTTGGAACAAAAAACATACATTTAGCAACGCCGATAGCCATGATATATATATAAATTCAAATTGGTTATATATTTGTCAGAGATTTATTCATCATAGTCATCCAAATTTTAGAAAATTTCAAAAATTACAAACAAAATCTAGGTATGAGATAGAAGACTTTGAAGTTTGGCAAGTTGTTAAAAAATACAATCCTTCTCAATAAAGATCCAAAGTACTGAAATACGTAGTGCTTAATTAATATCAATTATCAATATTTATCTGTATTACATATTTCGTTTATTATTATATTACTTGTAAATTTTTTTTTAAAAAGTTAGTTTATTATAAGTTCATATCGATATACAATCATTTTAATTTGTAATGAACTGCTGGTTTTTACAATAAAAAAAAACAATTCAAGTTCCTTATGAGTAATTTACTATTTTCTATACTGTATTTATAATAAATTTTTAAAAAAATTAGGTTTGCTGACTGTATTAACTTTGTTATACTGTAACTTTGTCAATTTTATCACTTTTTGTAAGTTCATCATATGGGGTCTTTGCCTTGAAAATGACCTTACGGTATCATGTACCGTAAGGTCATTTTCAAGGCAAAGAACCCATATCATCGATTAAAATTTTCTTGACAAATTACAAAACTTAGTTTCGTTACTAATGACGAACGCTCAATTGTTGATGATGCAATTTTTTCTCTCAAGAAATATTCGCAAGCGGAAACAAATTATATTAAATACATAAGACATATTAATTACCACATAACATATTAATAAAAAATTTCATTTAACTTATAAACACTTGTAACGTCTTTAATTTATTGTCACCTCAAAAAATATAAATATTCTATATTGATTAAATTTATAATATGTTTATAATTAATTAAAATATGAATAATAGTTGCCGGATTATTTAAGATTTTAATTACATTCAAAAAAATTATTCAAGCAAAGAGAACGTGTAGTCAAATAAATACATGGATTATTCGCCAATCTAGCAACTCAAATACCCTCTCGATCTTTACTGAATTTATTTTCAATATCTGGTTTTAAAATACTTCGATTATAAGGTGAATACCGTCACCTAAATTGTATGCCAATCATAAGTCATTTATAAAAGTTTAAATGCAGTTAGCAGACTACTTGGTATAGGATCACAACATTGCTTAATTAATATTTTATAATATTCAGATATATTTCAAATAATGTCGCTATTGAGAATCATAAATTTGCTTATCTTTAATGTAATACAAATTTTTTTTATATCTAATTTCATTTTCTTTGTAAAAAAAGTAAATTTTGGCACGAAACCTTAAGATGGCGTATGTAGTCACAATAAAAATTTCATTAGGTGCACGCGAGAGATTGTAGTGACGCATTAGATCTTGACACTGGTATACGGTATACCTAAAAGTTGAATAATTGCGACATTCACGAAATATGCACCGTTCGCTAAACTTGCAATAATTTAAAATAGCAGCAATATTTTTCATTATTTTTGTTATTTCTTACGACCTTTCACAATATTTGCAAAACATAAAAGATCTTCAAATTTGTTATTAAATAATCCTTTGGGTTCTTAAATTAAAGAAATAAAATTTTGAGTTTGATTTGTCCTTTATTTATATTAAAGAAGGTTTTTTTTTTTACTAGCAAAGGTGTTAATTGTATATTACCAAGATTGAGACGTCAAAGATTCTATAATACTTTTATAAACAGAAAACATGATATAAACTACACATTAAAGTATTACAGAAAATAAGTAGAAATATTACTTTTTGTGAAATCAGATATATTTTACTATTCATTAAACATTAATAATGACAAACTAATAACGTGAATCATCAAGAAAAATAGAACAATAAATATATAATTGGTTAATTCGATTAGATAAATTATAAATAAAAATAGGTTAAATTTATTGTCATTTTCAATAACCTGATAAATAATATATGAATTCTTTACTGGATATTTTCTTCTCAAACTTTCAAAACTACATGCGCAAAATTTATTTCAATACTTTAAATGATTACAAATATGTTATCAAATTATCATTATGTCATCACCTTATCTTAATAACTATGCCCATTAATAAAGCTTTTTCTAACCAAAGTTCTAGTGTCAGTATCATGTAACAGTTTCGAACAATTTGGTTCAAATAAGTAATCATACTCTTGAAAGTTGTGATGAACTTGAACAACCGGTCTTCTGCTGTAATTAAAATGAAATTATTTAAACGTAATCTTTAAATGATTGTTTATATTCTTGAATATTGAAAGCACGAAATTTATGTGATTCAAATATTATATAGTTATTGCATGCGAAGCATGCAATAACTGTAGTATTTTATGGGCGATCCTGATTGGTCGGTGATCCCAGCCAGTACGGCTGGGTCATCCGAACAATTAGGATGAGAACATAAAATACGTAAAGTATCATGTGCTCA